TCTTGTTGCATTTGACGTTCGGAAATTTTTATTTCTGTTATGAAACTACTAGGTATTTGGTGGCCCGCCTTACGGTGGTCCTATTATTTTCATGATGAATTCGACATTTAGACGGTGTTCCAGCACAACGGGTTATTAAAAACTAAATTTATAAATCATTCAGCATCAATTGAAAAATATCACTTGAAGACATTGATTATAACGAATTCTGTGAGTCTGTAACTGTCAATTTGACTGTTTATGGAAATTGTAACATTTGAGTATTTTCCGGGGTCAAGTCGAAAAGCTGTGTTATTCTATCCGCTGTGCAACAACTGCCAACAGTTGAAAGCCCCCCTGCAAGGGGCCTTATACCCGAAAATAACCTTAAGGCCGCTCTACAAGCAACACGTTGAAAACCGAAACTAACAGTATTCGTCCAGCGGTCAGTCTGGACACATCAAATGCTCAACTTACTCAATTTTTCAAATCAATTCTCCCCTGCGAAATACTTTAGTGAATCTAATCATATCTTCCATTCAAATCAAACTTAATTAGTTTAACTTCTTACATAAATTCTGATCAAATCAAAATAATATCTCATACACGCATTTTAACTAAAAATATTGTTATCATTCAAATGAATAAATTTCAAAAAATGTATTTCATAACAAAGTATGAAATAAAATGCCTTTGTAAAATGTATTATTTCCCAAAGGCCTTGAGATAATCGAAACAAACGTAAAAGCAGAATCACTTGTAAAAATAAATAGAAAATTTCTATAAAACAACAAAACCCATTATAAATAAATTACTGTCTTAAAGTTTAATTTAATGGAACAAAACATTAAATAAAATAAGTCATAAATAACCTGAGTGAGCTTAATTGTTAGCTCAAGAGCACTCGTAGGTAAGCTTTCAAATCAATGGAGAAGTTTTCATAAATATTTACGGAAAAATCACGCAAAATTGACGTAAAAATTTACTCGTAGAAAAATCTGCTGTACAGATCTGGAGTTTTTTATAACTCTCGAGGACCTTTCTGGATTGTCCGAAGCGTTAACCTCTGAATTAATTGCGAAATTCCTAAAGATTTATAGAACATTCCAGAGTCTTCTGGAACATTCAGCATTGGAAAATTGTAGAGGTTTCCCGACGATTCGCCAACTTTCCAGGGGATTCTGCACCGCTCTGGACCTTCCTTGAACTTTCTAGAACCTTCCATCAATTTCCGGAGGAACGGACATCGCAAATTATGTAGAGTAAGATATCCTCACTGAGAAATAAATAGTTCTGCTAAAAAATTATGTGTTCCACGGAATAGAGCTTTTGTCGTGTTAAAATAATTCAGTTGTAGACACTGAAGAAAGTTTCCACCGAAACATGGTAATTTCTATGGGAATTTTTCTTGTAAGACATTTATGTCTTTCAGGTAAATCCATTAGTTCTACGAAGATTTAAATGAGGCTCCGGTTATATGGATTCATGATAGTCACAACAAAAATTCAATTTAGATGTTGAATTTTCTTACATGAAGTAGGTTAATTCCACTCACATAAATCTGTTCCACTCCATCAAATATCTTTTTCGGCAGAACGAACTCTTTATCTCAGTGGGGAAGACATTTTGTGATGAGATCATTTCTACGCAGAGAATTCCTACCGGGAGGTGCGCAGATTCGCGCCTGGAGATTTATGACCCTTCAGCAATAAAAAAATCTCAAAGAAGTGAAAAATTGCACGGACACTTCGAAATTCACGTTCTCTGATTGTGAGAGGAAACAATTATTTCTACACAAAAGTGTTCCACGTAAAAGACTTCCGTTGTGTTGAATGAAAAAAATTGGAGAAACATTGATGACATAAAACACTAAGTTATGTTCACGTGACGATAATATCTTGATGTAAACAAAAATTAACATTTGTATTGTTTTATCGAAATCCTTCAATAATTTTACTTTGTAATTTACTTCGCCCTTGCGGGGTTCTTCATTTATCTCAGGACATAAATGGAAAAGCTTCTCTCAATAAAGCAATTAAATAACTAACAAAAAATTCACTCAAAATAGTTGAAATTTTACTAGAATTATCGCATTTTTTCCACAGTTTTTGTGAAAATTCTGGAGAATCTAATCAGTAAAGACGAAAATTCAGGGGTAATTTGCCACATCATTCGCTTTGTGCTCTTCTCGATAAAATATCCTTGTCGAGCAAAAATAATTTTTCCTCTCAGTCTTTCAACCTATAATTTTCCCTCTAACCTTATCGAAGGTCTCACAATTGAGGGGAGCACGTATGTCCCTAAAAATGACATTTTTCAATGTCCATTAAAAAAATCGTTTTTTTTTCACACACCTGCACGGAAAGTTCGTACTTTGCTCCCTGATGAGCGGGAGGAAAGTGAGTACTTCCCGCCCTCGGGTGGAAAGTTGCTCAACAAATCAACTCAGGGTATCCCTACGATAGAACAGTTAGTCCACGAGACTTACTTCCGATCGAACTATTACGATGCGGTAAGTGAACTCTCACGTTTCCACCTTTCCGTTAGGGCGGAAAGTACTCACTTTCCTCCCGCTCATCAAAGAGAAAAATACGAACTTCCTTTCGCTGTAAAAGTAGATTGACCAAGGGAGAAAAAAAGCGAATTCTAACGCGTGTGGATTACTGCCCGAGGCGAAGCTGAGGGCAGTAAACACGCGGGTTTTGATGTCCTGTTTTCCTTCCTAGGTACACATACTTTTTTCCGTCCCGGCGGGCGCAAAGTTACATTTCCCTCCCGCTTCGCGGGAGTTGTAGGAAATTTTACGGAACTGTCACGTAATTTTTACCTAAAATCACGGAATTTTTCCAGAGCGTTCCGTAATTTTTCCATTCCGTAATCGGTGACGAACTGTGAGTTGCGTAATTTTTACTGAACATTTCTGTCCGTGCAAAACAGTCAAAAGTTTAATCCCCCCACGTTATTTCCCACTTCCTGTGCAAACTGCTCCCCCAATCCCCGTTTTCAACAAAACCCTTTGAGATAGCTTCCGTGTATTTTCTTCCGCGCAAGTAAATTACATCCTACGAGTAAATCCACTTATCGATCGACCGATTATCTCAGATGGAATTTTCAGTAAGACACTTTCACATTTACTTTTCTTAAGACTAGACTCCCTAAACTCTACTTTTTCCCCAGCTAGCCAGAAGTGCGACGAAGATACTTCAGCCCCTACATCCCCCGAAAAAGGGATAATTATTGTGCAAATGTTTCCCACATTTGCACGAGGTGCCACAAACTTCAAAGGATCCCGTACCCCAAAGAATCGGGGGAAAAACTTGTCTGCGCTAGTCGACAATTTGCAGGAGCATCCATATTCATGGAATTATACCAAAATTCAGTCAAGAAATTCAAAGTTTACGGTCACAAAGAAACACGAATGATAAATCGCGAAAACTGATGCAGCAGACCTCAGATTGAAAAGTCGTTGATTCACGAAAGATAAATGAGTTTATAGTGGAATCAGCATTACATGTCAAGGTCATAATTGCGCAGTACCTTCGACTGCACCTATGTACCGTTGGTAAACCACGACACGATCTATAATCGACCCGGCATGTGTCTATAGCTGTCCCCTATCCTCAATCTCTCATCCACAAAATCCGGCGAAAATTCCCCCGCAATTCCCACCACAAAAATGAAAGCCCTTTCCACCTGTTTTCCCTAAACAATATCCCACCGCGAGTCATTCAAAGTGAAGCTAAAGTCAAACCCTTGGGCCATGCATAAGGGTTAGAGCGCATAATACAAATGTCAATGAATATCCCCCATAAATAACAGAAAAACTATAAAAACAGATCGATAACTGATGCATCGAGACCCCTGAAGGACGAGATAAATTGTTTTCACGTGTCCCCGTACGATAAAAAATAAAAATAACATCAATTGAAAAAGACTCACCGGTGCAACGCGTCGTACCAACGGCTTCGAACTGCGCAGTTCACGAGCTAAAGGCCCTGGTCCAGGGACCGCTTGTTGCGAATGGGTGCCCCCCCCCCCCCACAGTACAACCCACAACGATACCCCAAGATTCACGATTTTTTCCGTATTTAACCGTCATACGCCTAGCGCCTCATTGCGGTGAGACAATGATACGTATCGCCTTCATTACTCCAGCGAGAGGTACAAAATTAACGACTGAACATTTCCGAAATCACATTTTATCCGGAGAATCGCCCTTCGAATCTCTAATTTCTCGTATTACAAGAGTGAGTTCACGGTTGTGTTCCGTATCACACATAACCTCAGTCTCTTATAGGGCTGTTCCACGAAAATATTCATCGAATGGTGTCCGAAGAGACGCATCCGCGATGGTGCGCTCATTTCTTGCGATTGTCCTGTCATTACCGCGGTCATTCGTGTTTTTACTCTCTCTGACAGCTGATCAGCATCAATCGATGACATGTTATACCCCACCTAACAGGGAACAGTGGAAACCCCTCGAATGTGGCGACACTAGGCGCCAGCCTGACGGATCAGTACTTCTCGCTTGGATAAAGGTCCCTCTCTCGATCCCCCAGCCAAATTCTCTTTCTTTCTCCCCCCCTCACCGCGATCGCCCGACGACTGTCGTATTTATGACCCATGAACCCGAGTTTTCACAAAGAAATCGACGCCCTTATCGCGCGATTCCATGATTTCAGGGGACTGCGAGTCACTGGAGATGACATTTCGAACCACAAAATGCTTTCAAACGGGCTGATACGGATCGATCCGGAATCTTACGTTTTTCCCTCCCATTTTGCATCACACAATGTAACACTTGGGTATTAATCATTATTTTTTAGAGACTCACCATTTCATTGTCCACGGTACACGTCTGCTCCATGTCCATGGATTTTGTCACTGACAATCCGGTAATTAGGGGATTGATGAGAAAAATATGTTGGTGGTGGCGAGAACAATCAAACACTTGATACAATTAACTTGGCAATTTGTACGGCAACGTGTGTCTGTTTACAAACACTGCAAGGTCACTCAGCTGGCAGAGGGCTTCAGCGATCAGTGGCGAGCGCATGTGCGTTACGTCATGGGAGGATTGGCTGGCGTGCGGCGAGTCCCGGAAACAACTCAAATTTCTGGCGGGAGTTTTTTTGGTTGAAATTTTGGAAGTAGGGGAGAGTGGGGTATAATGCACACTTTGATTTTTGTTTTAATGTCAATTTTTTAAATGTTGATGTCAAGGGAAAGAACAATTTTTTTCTCTTTGTGATGAGCCGACACTGATCTCAATTGTCTGTTCAAAAATCTGTTTCTGAGTTATAAATATTTGGTAAAACGTCAGGAGTGTCCATTTTACTTCAGCCTCTACTACACTGTTAGAATTGTTTGGAATTTCATGGAAAATGTGATAGTAAATCTCATGGGAGTGATATTGAATTGGATTTAGGTGAAGAATGGTTATGAAATTTCAAGTTTTAGGTAGGATTCAAGGAAATTCACGAGTTTTCAGTGGGAGTGAGATGGAAATTTCACAACTTGATTGAATTTTCAATGGGACATGACTATTCAGACACAAAATTACATGAATTTTCAATTTATCCCTAAATTTCCCTGAATTTTCACGGAATAATTGGATTGAAAAATCAAGTACTTTATTGATTTTCAGATCATTCAAACAGAATATCAATGGAATATTTGATTTTTCAATGATAAGATTTCCTAAAATGTCAGTGAAAAATGAACCCGATAAAAATTCCCGGGATTTGGCACGGAAAATTCAAACAATTTTTAACAGTGTATGAAAATTACACAAATTCAGGGTGTTATCAGGGACTCGGGGTAAAGAAAAATTCCAGGGGAATTAGATTTTTCAGAGAAAAATTTCCGCACGATTATTTGGATAATCGGAAATCCCTTATAAAAAATTGAGTATTATCTACTTGATAGAAAATCTCTAGTTCCATATTTTTTAATGTTTAATTCATCATCAATTCGAAATTGGGATCATCAATTATTTTACTATTTTTTAATTTCGATTAGTATATTGAAACTTTGATCAATGTAAGTCGGAAATTTTTTTAATATTGAAGAATCGGAAGATTGATGGCCATCCCTGAAGCCCATATATAAGAAGCGACTCCAATCGTTAATAACTTGAAAAGCAAATCTGAAAAAATTCTAGGAAAATTCATAGATAATTCAATTGTGATTGTCATACAGTACACAATAAATTTAAACAATAAATAAATACAATAAATGTATTCATTCATTCAATTGTGATTATAAACATCTGTATGAATTCCGGATGAATGGCATTATTTTTCTTTTTCTCACGAAGCACCTCGATTCATACCCAGCCAACAATTTACCGGTAAATTTCCGGATATTTACCGGTCTTGCGGGGGACTTTTAGATGGCATCCGTAAAAATTATTCCCTGGGAGGCCTAGAACTCTTCCCAACCAAACTAACGGGAACTACGGAAATTCTCTCCCCAAATTCACCTCTAGACATCAACTAAATTCACGGGGAATTCGAATTTTTGGAGCTTCAGCGGTCAGTGGCGAGCGCATGTGCATTACCCCATGGGAGTAGAGATGCAAAATGACCGTCATTTTTTAGATCGCGTCATATGACCAAAAAATGACGGTCTTGTGACGCACAAATTTTCCAACTACAAATGATTGTCACAAATCATTTGTAACCAACTTGTTGTCAAACCATCTATATAGTTGCATAATGACGGTCATAACTAATTTCCAATTTGTGACGGTCATGAATAAAACAAAATAGTTTCATCTATATGGATGGAAAAAAAAACGTGATTTCCATTTCAAAATGCAGATTAGGCCAATACAAAAGGAATTCAACTGGAAATTGACCGAGAAAAAAATAAAGTTTCATCTATATAGATGAAAAATGACCGTCATTTTTTCTTGACAAGTTGTGTCGGTCACAGAAGGGTGAGGGGGAATGTGACAGCCGTCATGAACGCCTCGTGATGTGACCGTCATACGACGGGTCATGTGACGCATTTGCATCTCTACATGGGAGTGTGGTTGGCGCTAGTGTGTGTGTGTGTGCGGCGAGTCTCGGAAACAACTCAAAATCCTTGTGGACAGTTTCTTCGTTTGAAACTTTTGAAGTATGGAAATTACTCAAATGCAGGGTGTTATCAGCGATTCCGAGCACAATTGGCTGGTGCGAATGTGCATGAACGCGTTCAATGTTTATTTGACGATGATCCATCTGATTATTCACGACAGCATCTCGCAATTGCAGATGGAAGATGATCCTCGTGAGTTTTAGTTGTGGGAGAGAGTTGTTTCATGATTGTGGATTGAGGGCGAATTGTTTTTTAGAATTGATCGATGTCTTGTGCTACCCACTATTCTTGGCGGGGATGGATATCATGGTGTACCTGAGCTGCGGTTATGATGGATAGGGGTAAGAGGCATGTTCATAAGGCATGAGAAAGTGATGAAAAGTGAAAGTTTTCATATTTTTCTGTTTCAACACGTTTACGAGAGCCGTCATATGATGCGAGAATGAAAATTGGTGGAAATAAAAATGCATGATAATTTATAGAGTGGTTTCCTCCTTTTTGACTTATTATTCAAATCTTCATTTTTATTTTTGAAGAGGAGAATAAAGATTCGCAAGTTTCCTTCTACGAAAAAAAATGTTTTTTTCATTATTTTCTGTGAAAAATATTTCTCAATCTCAATTAATATCTCGCAAGGGCATAGAAATTATATTGGAGTAATTAAATCGAAGCATAATTGGCTGGAGCAAATGTGCATGAACGCGTTCAATGTTTATTTGAGTACTCGGAGGCTACGCTCGGCAACTCCGATGCGACCTTCATATAGCGCCACATGACCCCCATGACGCTTAATCGGACCCTCGTGACCCTTATTCTGACCCTCATTATAGCCCTCGTGACCCTTAATTTTGGAGTCTTAATTTCGATTACCAAATTTTCATCACCAGCAGTCAATTTTGATTTCTATAATATAGAGGGATGATTTATTATCTGATTATTTATGACTGCATCTAGTAATTGCAAATGGAAAATGATCCTCGTGAGTTTTAGTTATGGGAGAGAATTATTTCATGATTTTGAACTAAAGATATCCAAGTACTTTGGCTATTTTTTTCTCTAGTGAAATGCTCTTCTGCTTTTGTTGTCGAACATCAGAGCTTTCATTGGAATCCCATTTGACCCTAAGTTTCCGAATATTTTACAATGATTTTATTATTTAATCATTGAAGGTCTGAAGTTGAATCTCGATATTGAACCGTTAGAAAACATTTTAAAAATCTGAAAAAAATTAGAAAATTTACGTTTGGTAGGAGATTCATGAAATAATTTAAATAATTGAATTGCAATTTTGTAAAATTACGAGCATTTTTTACGAATAATTTATGAACAATCAATTTTTCAAAAATTATTCATATTCAGAATTTTACCAGAAATCGATTTAATGCCTAAAAAAATTAGGTTTCCAAAAATTTAAACAATTTCCATTAATTTATAAACAACGAATGTTTAAAAAATAGTAATTCTGGACAAAATGTAATTTTAATGACACTGGATATTCATGATTGGTTTTTCAAATTTTTCTCGTGCAATTTAATTGGCAAATTTGATAGAAAATTTCTAAAAAATTCAAGAGTTGCTTTAAATTCTCTGTGAAACCAAAAAAAAATTTCTCAAATTTTCTATGAAACTGAAAATTTTGTCGAACTTACTATAAAATCCGGGAATATCCTGAAACTTTGTAGAAATCTCAAAAATATTCTCGAAAACTCGAAAATATTCTAGAATTTTCCAGAAAGCTCTTGAATTTTCTATAAGGTTCTAGTGCAATAACATAGCCTAAAGCCGATTGAGGACCCTAAACTACGTAATACAAATACCACTGAAATCCATTCAGTCGTTTTTGCGTGAATCGCGGGAAAAGAATGGGCAGCAGATTTATTATATTTAAAATTATATTTAAAGCCCATAATGGATATTGTCAACGTTGGAAACTCTCATTATGTCGAGTGCATTCAATTGCAAATGAGAAATGATCCTTGTAAGTCTCACTGCTCATTAATCAAATCATGAATCATTGATTAGAAGTGCTGAATGTCCTGCGTTATTCTTGTCTCCAAGCTGTGATTATTTCGGATAGGGATGGAAGATACATAAAAAATTGATGAAAATTGTAAAAAATATTCAAAACTTATATTTTAAATCCTGAATGGAATATCATCGACCCGGAAAATTTACAGTATGTTTACCATCCAATTCTGTAATTACAATTTTCTTTTTATTCCTCTACTATCAAACGCAACATGAAAAAAAGGCTCAGGAGGATTGTTATTTATATAATTGTACAATTACTGGTTCTCAACTTCTAAAATTCATTCGGAAATACATATTTCCGAGGGACTTATCACTTTACATACATGTAAAAATTAAAATACTCTTCATCAAATATTAATACGAAAATTATACCTACGCAGTAATAATTTACTCTAAAAACTCATTGTTTCACCTACGAAAACAAGCAGCTACGCTCGATCTTCGCTAGAACTATTAGAAAAAAGACAAATTGTTAATATGAACATTCGTGGTACGGAGCTATAAAAAAAACATTTTTGTTCGCATGACTAAAGAAAATCATCAGATTGAAATTTCTGCGAGCACTTGTCACTGCGTTATACACAAATATATCGTACAGAAATGTCACCTGTATAATATAGAAATTCATCATTTATAAGTACTGTACATAAAATATGGGATACACATTACACTTTCGTCAATGCACGTATGTACACTCTCTTCAATTTGATTGAGAAAATACAAGAAAATTTCTCTATAAATTAAATTGGAAAGTATCTGATCGCTATAAATTTTATATAATCAGTCATGGCCACATCAACAGAAAGTGTCCATCAAACATGTGAGAAT